GAGACTTGAAGGAATAATATTTTAACAAATATCTATAATATCTCAATAACATTTACTTTTTTTAAAAATTCAGATTTAATTTGATCAACCAGTGTTTTCTGGAGTTATTCAAACTTATAGGTACTTTAAATCTTTGAGTATCATTAAATACATAAGTTCGTCTTTTCATCTTTTTCAGTAATAGTTTGTTTTTTGTTTTTTTTTTTTACTGTAATATGGCAATTTTTTTTTTTTTTTTTAAATTGACAATTTGTGATATTTCTTTTATTTTACTTTTTTGCTGTTTTCTCTTTCACAGTTAATTGATTTCCTGTTTGCTTGGGGGTGGGCTCATTTTTGCTAAGGTGAGAGAGAAAAGGAAATTTGATAAAATTATTTCTAATAGACTATTTGTTTTTTTTGTTTTGTTTTTTTAATCTATTAAGCTTTTATTTATGTTCTTATCTTATTCATAAAGTTCTGTGTTTGAAAAATACTCTAAAAAAGGCCAAAGACATTTTCTTTTGAAATTTTCTTATTTTAATTCTTTTGTTTTCATTTTACACAGTCTAACTTAGCTGTAGTGCTGAAAAGTATGCATTTTATATATTCTATTATAATTTTTGGTTAAAACTCGATCTAAGGGTCATTCTGTTTATTTTTGTTCCTTTTAATAAAGGATAGTTTTGTTTGCTTTGACTTTTTAATTCCAATAGAAAATGATCAATAGTCAAAGAACAAACTTCATTTTTTTTTTTTTTTCTCAAAGCCAAGAAATAATGGCACTGAGAAAAAGGATTTTAAGTTATTAAATTTGCTTTGTGTCAGTAGTCTAGCACAAAGTGATAGTAGTGAGGAACTAAGTTGGAATTGAACTTTCCTGGTACAAGATCATAGTAGTAGGATGCTCTCTACATTGGCAAATTGGTCTACCAAATAAACTTGTTAACCATCATGTTATGGTAGGCATCATTTTAGCTTTTTGAAACATTATGGATTAAAGTTAACCCCACTTTTGAAAAGTTGGTATCTGTGTTTTGGGGGTACATTTTTAATTCCACATTTTAATATATATCTATTTATTTTCTGAGGATTTAAAAAATGTTTATGAATCTAATTAAAGAAAAAAAAGTTGTCTCTTTTACCTTTTTATGCTACTTTTTTGTTTTTATGGCTTTATTTTTTACTTACTATTTTCTCATTTAGATAAAGATAACAAAGTTTTAAAAATTTTTTTTTTTTTTTTTTTTCTTTTCAAAAAGTTATCCTTTATGCAACAATATCATATGTGATGCTGCTTTCATCAAACCAGAGTTTTCATGTAGCATTTCTCATATGTACATGCATATAACAAAAGGACTTAGAAGTTCTACTAGAACTTCTAGGCTTGACCAAAAAGCTCTCTTGAAAACAGGTTTTATATTTGGTCAAATTTTGGGAAGTGGGTTTGGCTGAGAATGTAAATTCTGTTTGGCAATAACTTTTAAACAACCTGTACATTCAGTTCTAATTAACTACTTAATATAATGATATTAAATATACTACACTGTAGAAAACAATTATTCATTTTTGGTCTATATTTCTGAGATGAGTATTGTAATAATTTACATTATTTACATTGTTTGGACTGTTGTTCTCATCTTTATTGTCATATTCCTGACATTTTGGACGTATGCTTGAGCACTGGTTGGATCCAGTGACTTGACCCAAAAAGTTGTGAGTTCAATACCTGGGTATGGCAGTAGTGAACAAAAAAAAACTTGGAGAGTTGAGTTAAAAGGGAGATAACTAAGAGATTTGGGAGAAGAATAGCACATGGAACTAGGACAATTTAACCTGGAGGACAAAATAAAGGGTTTAGTTCAAAATTTCAATCACCTGAAGAAGGCCAGAGTTTACAATGGCTGAAAAGTCGTGAACATCACAACAAAGATGAGAACAACTGTCTGAACAATGTAAATAATGTAAATTATTCATTTTTTTTATTTTATTTTATAATTGATTGCATATTTGACTCTGAATCCAACTACCTACTATCAAGTCAGATACAAGGTAAGTTAGAAAAATCATCATCATTACATTAATATTTACAGTTTTTAATTGGAAAAATGTAATTTTTTTTTTCCATATAAATATTATTATAGACTACTTGCTTTCTTGATTGTGTAGGGATTTTTTATTAAATGATTTTATAATGTCAGGAAATAGAAATTTATTTTTGCTATACATTTTTAAAATTTTTTTTCCATATTTAATCTTGTCAAAGGTTATTTCTACATAAAAATTTATGTATGCGTCATATGATTTCCAGCACATTACAATTATCTCATCATTCTTATTATAATTTTAAAAGTTGACAGTAATTAAGCATCAGCACAAATTTTACTAAATCAGACAATCACACAGTTGATACTTATCAGTAACACATTTTGCATTTGAGGTTGCTTTGTTTTAGAAAAGAAAAGGGAATTATTATTGGATTATTTTTAGAAAACTTGAAGGACAAAGAATGTGCATTTATTTTTTTTCTTTTTTTTTTTTTTTCATTGTATTAATTTCTTCAGTTTTCCTTGAAGAAATGTTTGTCCCCCCCATTTCTCTTTTGAATTTGGCATTTAGCTTGAACTTCTTTCGTGATGAGCAGCAGTTAGATTTCTGAATCTATGCATTGATAGTGAATCTATTTTCCATTTTCATATACAGCCTAATGTTTATTGACCTTTTTGCTGTTTCCTGTTTCATCATATTTAGTGCTTCACATTGTGAAAGTGATAGTACATTGGTTGAAGCACTGAACTAAGGGTTTCATTGCTTGCAATTCAATTACTGAGTTAGTGATGCTCATTCAGCTATGGGGTTCTTTACTTAAAGGCACGACATAGTGCAACTCACACCCAGAACTGAAAGTTCATTTCAAATCTTGTCATTCCACTGGGAGTGAAGAGTTTTAGTTTGGGTTTGGATTTGAAGTAGAAATTTTTTTGCTTTTTATAATTGGAATAACTTTCCTATTTAATTGAAGTAAGTATAAGATTTATTTATTTTATTTGCTATATTATTGTTAAAACATTTTTAGTGCAAATTTCACTAAAAACAAAAATGTAATCTAGGAAACTCTGGTTTCTTACTGGAAAGTTAACTTTAAGTGAAAAATGTTAAATTAATTTAATATTCTTCTCTATAAAATTTTTATTCATAAAAGGAGCAAATTCACTAATGATTAACTTTATTTTTTGTGCAATCTGAATTTGTTTCTATCAAATGAAAAAAGTATGTTGAATTTTTACAGTGTTTCTTATACTGAATTGTAACATTTTAATTTTACTTAAAAGAAATAACTTATTTTCTCTAATCTTCCTTATTACAAATGTTACAAAGACTCTCCCATGAATGTTAATTTTAATGCTTTGTTAGGTTTAATTTTGAACAGACTTTTCTTCTGAAGATTTTTTCTTGATTCTGTTTTAAATGTCAAAATTTATTTAAAAATGCTATTATTTGTTACTTAAAGCAAATTTTATATTTTTTTTTTTTTTTTTATATTTTTCTTTTTCATTTTTTTTATTAATTGTTATTCATAACAACAAATATATTGATGATAAAATTTAATTTTTTATGGGTGTATGTTTGTTTTCTTAATGTAAAAGGTGTTTAAAAAAGTTGATTTTAGTTTATCATTAAAAAAACATAGGCGTAACGTGATATTTTATACTACAAAATTAATGAAAAAAAAAAAGAATGTTATATAAAGTTAGTCATAATTAAATTCAATAAATTTAATCTGATATTTTTAGATATTGTAAGCAAGGTGTACAAAACATTAGCATAAAGCTTGCTGCTAAACAACATACTTTTAAGAGTCAATATTTTTTTACTTGTATAATCATAAAAAGTATATTTATGACAAAAGTCAGCACTAGTTACTTTATTTAAAAACAGCAAAATACATTAAAAAAGTTACATTCATATTTATTTTGTTCTGTGTCATATTCTTGTTCCAGAATTCATAATTCCAATATGTCTTTTGTTTAATTAATTGTTTAGTTAATTCCAATATGGCTTTTGTTTAATTAAAATTGTTTTAACATGGAAAATTAATTCAAAGATTAAAATGCATTTCGTACACCCTTGTTAATAGGGTGGGAAGTAATGGATCTGAAGATCCACCAAATTATATATTAATTGTAATAAGACCTTAGAAAAGAAAAAAATATACCAAGATAAAAAGGGTTAAGTTTTCAAACCAAATTAATTATACTCTTAATCTCTAAATTTTTTGAATTTTTAAGCCAACTACAACTTAAACTAAAAATCTTTGCTCCTAGTGAAACAAGAAGATTTGAGATAGGCCTCCAGTTCTGGACATGAGTTACATTATGACTTGACCTTAAGTAAAGAATACTAAGTAACTGGACTTTTATACAAGGTCTGTATAGAAAGCATTCAGTCATTTTGAATATCTCTAGAATTAATTATGCAGCTTTGATGTAAATTGAAGACCAATCAGCAGGGACTTTACTATGCAAGAGTGAGTGCACGCACACACAATAACTCTCCTCTGGAGTTATTCAGTTGACAGGGAAAATTTAAATTAGCTTCTCTACTCTGTGACTGTCATGTTTATAGTGATTGAGTAGTTCAGCAAAGATTTATATAGGTTTTGAGCAAAACATTGTATCACCCAGATGCATTAGCTTCTTCCATCAATCCAGATTTAACTCAACATAATTTCTGGCTATCATAGTTGAAAGAGGGGAAACTATAGACAAGATTAAGAATAATGTGATATGGCAGCTGATAGTGATCCCAAGGGAGGACATTACAGACTATTTTAAAAAGTGGAAGATGCACTAGTATAAATTTATGAAGTTCCAAGAGAAAAGTACTAAGATGATATTGCCCTAGGTAGACCTTTTTTAATTAATATTAAATGGCAAGAACTTTACAGAAAATTCTTGTACAGACAGTTGCCTGGAATTTTTTAAAGCTTTTAGCTGATTTTTTTTTTTTTCTTTTTTCAGAATGCTTCAACATTTGCTTTTCCTGATATGACTGAAGAATTCAGGAAGGTGAGTATATAAGGAACATTTAATGGTGCTTTAAAAAAATAGTTTTATTTGTTTAAATATGTACTCAGCTTAACTGATGTGATTTCATAGTAAAACATTAATATTTTCTAGGATATCCCTTGTATAAATACCAAATTCTATTCAGCTTTAGTACATTGTTATATCCATAATTGATATAGTAGCTTAAAAGCAATAAAAACTAATTCTATTTTTGCAAGAATATTTTGGAATAAACTGGATTTCTTGATTATTCTTGTGAAATCTAAAATTTCAGACTAGTCGTCATTTTTAATGATTTGCGATTTCTTGAGGCAATGTTAGGTTCAGAAATGAAATTGATATTTGTACAATTAAAGTGAACATATTTAGTTTCGTTTTAGAAAAAATTAAGCTTAAAGGCTTGTTAGGTATATGAAAAATATTTTTTTACCAGCTCAGTCCAGAATAAAAATTAGTAAGTTATTTTGAATTATTTTGGTTAATTTTTTCATTTTTTTATGATTATTAGCCCATTAACTATGGGAATTTCTATCATTGCATGTTTATGGCTTAAATGCAAATGATGAAATTTCTGGCATAGTTCATGGGTGAAATTTGTATTTTAAATAATACAATTCTAATTGTAAGACACAATATTTATCTACATATCCCTCATCATATATATATATATATATATATATATATATATATATATATATATATATATATAATCATCCACAGTCAGACTGTTCTGCTCCTCAGTGTGGCTAGACGTTCAATTGCTTCAAGCCAGGATCAAACCCAACTGATTTGACATCAGCCAGATATCTTACCTCTAGGCCATCATTGCACGACGGCAGGGAATTTTAACGTTTTTCTCTCTAATAAATACACCAGCGCTTTGTAGAATTCAATTAAATTTTACTTGAAGAATAATGCCTGTGTGTATGTATGTGTATATATATATATATATATATATATATATATATATATATATATATATATATATATATATATATATACTATATACACACACAAGTATAGGATTGGTGTATACAGAAATTTTCGAATAAATAATTATATAATGGACTCTCCCGTCGGTTTCGACGTATGAGGAGCTGACGGCTTATTGATTCAGTTATGAAAGTTTTCGTATCCAGTTTAATACCCCACTCATTCCACAAGCAATGGCGAATATATACACACACGCACACACACACACACACACAGGGGCAGTGGGTAAATTGTCGCCTTTTTATATTTTTAATTTCACACGTGTGTTATTTGTTTTTGATTTTGTCGACTGCACAATATATTAGGGTCAGTTGGGCATGGTCTGTGAGAGAAAGAGCACCATGACGCAATTCATTCCACCAGAAATTTGGAAACTGCATGTCAGAAGCTCCAATACGAACATTTCACTGTATTTGGATGTCAATCTGAGGACAGGGCAGAAAGCGTTGGGAAAGAGTTGGATGAGTCTAATGGTGATTACAAAGGTATGGTAGCTCGGAAAATTCACTCTGATCATTCTGTTAAGAAAATAACTCATGAATTTGTTGACTCAACATGGAGGCCGACATCAAGTGCCTTGAGGAGGTAGTGCTACCCTGGGTCAAGAGGGTCTGCTGGAAGACCTTTTTTCTGGCAACAGGACTCTGCACCATGTCACACAAGCAAGAGAATCCAATATTGACTGTTGGACAATTTCTGCAACCATATCACACCTTACATCTGGCCACCTAACCCACCAGACTGCACCCCCTTGATTATTATGCATGGGGTGCAGTTGAGCAAGAGACCAACAAAACTCCTTGTAACACCAAAAATGAACTGAATGCATAGATTATGGCAGCATTCACCAACTTAAATAAGGTGACTGTCCAGAAGAGTTGCAGGAAATTCTAAAGTCATCTGGAGACCATTGTTGAAGCCAATGGTAATTTTATTGAATAAATTTACTTTTTAGCATTTCAAGATATTTTTGTGTACTTTCGGTAAATATATCTGTTAAAATGAGATGTCATTGTTATTTTCATGTGTACGACAATTTATCCATTGCACCCTCTGTGTGTGTGTGTGTGTATATATATATATATATATATAATTCAAGTAAAAGGTTGTCACTTAGCTGATTGATGTTACCTTCCAGAGCAACATTTTGATCCTAAGCTGAGTGCACAGATAACCTGATCTTAAGCACAAGTGCTGATCCATCTCTAAATAATCCCATCAATTTTGACAAGTAATATGGTTGTCAATAAATCAAAACTTCAAATTGTTATGGATTTTTTCAAGGATTATTTTTCAGGAACATAATGTTTAATTCTTTAATCTCTGATTGGTTCCTATCAATACTGACAATGGGAATAGCAGCTTTTTGCTGTCACTTTTTGTGCAAGTTAGTTATAAAAGATTAGTATGCACAAGTACTTACACTCTGTCATGCTAATGATAACATTTTTTAGGATATCTTGCAATAAGACAGTACAGGGAGAAGTGGATTCATGCCTTTTCCATGGGGTATTAATGCAAAGTGAATATGAGAAAATTTGGAGGAAATGGAAACAAAAAGGAAATTAATATTTAACATCAGGAAGAGACAAGATTTCTAGGGAGGAGGGCTTGGAAAATTTGATACTCACAGGGCAGAGAGAAGGCAAGATGGACAGAAAAGTGCAACACATAACATACTTGGTGAGCTTGAGTAAATAAATAGTGGAACAGGGCTTAGAAGAAATAATAGACAGTTTATTAAGAGCTACAAGGGACAGGAAGTTGTGGAGAGCCTGATCGCCTATGTCCTGAGGGGACACAGCATATAAAGAAGATTATGAACAGTTACAATCAAAATTAGTTTCCTAATTCCATTTTCTGTACAAATAACTGTTGTGTAATCTTGCATTTCTGCTTGAATGATTTGGGACCATAACATTTTTTTTGCATTATTAAATATTGGTAAAATATTGTCTACCATTCCAGTACAATTATTACTTTTACTGCATTCATCGGTATTTATGAACAGTCTTGAATCATAATCCAATTCCCTGCCAGAGTAAGAAGACCCAAGGAAGAGAAATTTACTGTGAAGTATCTCCTTAGATTTTTCCAAATGATTAATGGTTATATCAGAAATTATTTATCTCATCACAAACAATTCTATAGGGGAAAATAGCTAAAAACATTTTTTCAAAATTTCAGAATATTCCATCCATATTTATTACAAGAGTCAGATCAGACCAAAAATGGAGTAGTGTTGCCATGTCTGGGCTGGTGCTGCCCAATCCTTACTGTCAAACCTTGACAGAGTTCAAAAGTGATTACACAACTTTGTAGGTGATGAATTAATTTCCACCATGCAAACCCTTTACCACAAACTAAATTTTGCTAGCTTCTCACTACTTACACTTTTTAAGATGCTGAAACTAAAATATCTTGAGATTCTTTCCAAAATCCAAAGATGAGTCTATGTTATCAGTCTTGACCTGTCATTTCAGTTTCAGTCACTTTCCTTCTGCAGTGATGTGGCTTCCCTCTGTCTTGTCTATAAGTATTTTCATGATAATTGTTCTAATGAACTCACTTTGGTACCTTGACTACACAAATTTAAACATACTACTAAATTGGCAACTAGGTCTCATTGTTTTAATGTTGAAATAGCTAGATGTAACTATTGTTATTTAACTTGTAATTTTTATTTTAATATTTTTCTCTCACTTCTCACCTGTGGAACTTTTACATTTTCTTGCTGCTGCCCTGCCACCTACGATCTTCAAACATTTAAATGCAACATTAATTACCATTTTCTGTTTTTCTGAAGCCTGTTCTTTTATTGTCCTTTCTCCTCACTGAAGTCCTCTCATTCTGTTTCACTCTCGGTAACCCCTGATGTCTTAGTGTCATTATTGCCTTGCTTAGGGTGAAATGATTTAAAAGAAATGAAAAAAAGATATTACCAATAAAACCATTTAATGTGCTAATTTGTGTTGCCTTTTATCAATTAAACTTTGAACTGTATTTTGTTTGGTACTCTCTTCTCCTATCTCCAAAAACTGTCTTACAGCCACTTGTAGGGGTGCATACACCCCAGATTAGGAATCGCTACCCTAAAATAGGAGGAGGCACAGTGGAGTAATGGATAGCGGCTCAGATTGAGGAATCAGAGAGCCAAGTTCGAAATCCAGTCAGATCCATTACATTCACTTATGTGCTAATACCCTTGGGAAAGGTATGAATCCTTTTCCTCTCCCCCCAGTTATGGGTAAATAGCAGGATAGACTGGGTTCTATAGCCTTGGATGGCAACTGGTCTACCACAGAAAGGAATGGCAGCCTACTGCGGGAAAAAATCTGCCTCATCAGTCATGTATCAAAAGATACATGATCGCCTAAGTGTGTATCACATATGGCGTATAACTGACTGACTGACCCTAAAATATATTTACTATAGATGATATAAACAAAGGGAAAATGATGAATTTCCTGTTTACTGATATTCAGTATGTGAAAAGATGGGATGCTGAAAAGATCTGTTTAACCAAGTATCCTTTTCTTAAAAACAATTCTCATATTTGGTCAAATTTTGGAAAGTGGGTTTGGCTGAGAACTTTTTTGTTACGTCTAAAATGTTTAAAGTTGCTTTACCTGTTCATGCAGCCACATTAAAAAAAAGCTGTTTCACTCATTGTGATCCTTGATAGGGATCAATCATAGATTAAGTGTAAATATTTAAACTTTACTTAGAAATGAGTCACGGAAAAAAAATTGTTCATAATAGTTTTTCTTTTATATCATAGATATTTGTGAATCACAGATAAAAATAGTCCAATACCAACTAAATGTTGTTGAGTGGCTTTAAAGCAGAAAATATTAGATTGATTTAAACAAACTAGCATAGTACCCATTAAAATATGAGAAGATTATTTATGGATTGGCACTTCTGAGAATCAGAGTATCTCTGTGTTCTGCTTAAGATCAAATGGTAGTATCTGCCTTCAGGTAGACAAATTACATTTTATCTCTCAATTGTGTTTCTGTCTTTGAGCAGAGTGTCACTCAGTTGTGCTTTTGTCTTTAGGCAGAGTGCAACTGAAAAGATTATTGAAAGGTGCCCTGTCTTGGGGAGCATCTGCCTATAGTAATACCTCTCTCAATGCACAAAAGAGTGGGGATTGGTAGTAATACCAATGCCAGCATAACTGACAATTACAGGAGATGGACTATTTTTGGGGCCACCCCACATTAAACTGACCTTGTGTTATATCCTGCCATCATGGGCAGCAACTAAATACTAAATGTAGTACCTGTGCAGTCAAAAATGAATTTTGCATATGCACACACGGACACCTAGTTGAGTTTTATGTGGATGATAATTTAAATTTTTAAGTATATACTTCATGTATAGTGCAATCCTTGAATATTTTTGCATGAATTTTAACCCCTCTAGAAAAGAAATTACCTGTGTATGGTGAAACAGGTCACTGAAAATGCATGATTTTTAACCTCTTAAAAAAAACCAAAAAAAAAACCTTATCTGTGTAAAGTGCAACTCTCTATTTTTTGGCTTTTGGCATAAAAAATGTGATCATTAAAAAACTCTCTCTATACTCGAATATATATGACAGTAATCTATTAGCTATTTTTTATGGCATTTTTTTCTCTCTTGCAGAAAATGATTGGAGCTCTTCTTAAAAAACTGAAAGAGAAGGCTTCTTCCAGCTGTTATATCCAGTGTTTGTCTACAGTGCGTATATTTAGCCGTGATAAGAATAACCTGGACATGTTGGTGACAGATGATAATTTGAAGCTTCTCATGAAGCATGCTTGGTTGCAGCATTTTGCCAAGGAAAGCAACGAGATTGCAACTATTCAAGATGGTGATACAGATGGTAAGTTGACATTTAAATGTGTGTACAATATTTTATTCTACTTTGTTAGTTCAGGCAACAAAAAATGATAGTGTTTTGATCGGCCCTTTGGTGACCTGGAGCTTTTATTAATAAAGGTTTTGTTCATTTGTTTTACCAAAAGACTATTATGAGTTTTAAAGGATGTAGAAAACTAGTGAGAATATCTTTAAAACCAGAGCAGATAGCTTTCATTATAACGTGTTACTATTTTGAAAAATATCTTCTATTTTATAATTTATAAGTAACTAATAAAAATGATGACTTGTAAGCATACACCATGAAGATGGTGAAAAGTTTTCAGCCTGACCAAAAAGCCCTTCCATAAAACTAGTGTTAGGTAAGGTTTTAAGAAGTGGGATAAACTGAGATCTTTTTGAGATCCTCTTCTACAACAGGTCAGTTTTAAACATTGTATGTTTAATTTTGACTTGTATTTCTCTTATATTTGAAATATTGTCATTCTGCTCCTGCTCAAGATAAAGACTTCTACTTAAATATGGAGCTTTTCTTTTTTTAAAGTTACTATATTTGATGGTATGCAACCCCCCCACTACCAAGCAGCTAAAAACCACCCAAGTCTTACATGAAAAGTGACAGTATCTGGTAGACTGTTTATTCAATACTAGTACTTAGACGACCAACTTCATAATATTGTAATCTTCTTCTAAATAAATAAACAGTAAATGTCCGTTCGAGTATCTGAAATCCCTCTAACTCCAGCCATATTTGCTCTACATAGACATATTATACCTTTTTGGAATCGCGATGATCCCAGGATTGAAAATCTGCCCTTTATCTGGTGCTTGAACATCCAGCATTGGGCTTTGTGTCTGGATGAGGAGGGAACAGTTAAAAATTCAAATTTTAAAATAACTGAAAAAAATTAGGGATTTTAAGTTTTTAATTCATATTGAGTTTAACGTAACACAAAAACTTTGAATTTAAAATTTTTTGTTTTAAATTCACTTTAAAATATCTCAAATTGAGGAAATCAATTTTATTTCTTCAAAATGCCAAGGAATCAGAGTTAAAGTGAGAGGTTTTGTGATGTTAGGTTTTGAAGTTCTGCAAAGTTTGTGATTTGAAGAACTCAGTTTTTCGGTTTGAATTGGAATTTTGGCAGACTTGTAGCTTGAATCAGAGTTAAAGTGAAGTTTTGAAGTTCTATGGAGTGAATTGAGGAATTTAAAGTTATTTCTTCAAAATTATGCTGTTCTCTAAGCTGGACCAGAGGAACCTTTATTTTTGGCAGGAGGCCCCATTGACCCACTACAGCAGCTAGTTTAAAAGTCTGTTTTAAATATAAATGAGAAGTAGGGGGTATACATGATTTAATATTGTAATTCATGCTTTACAGTATCTGAAAGCTCAATTTTTCTCTTCAGTTACCAAGAGCACTAATGTGTAAAAAAAAAAAAAAAAAAAAAAAAAAATAATAATAATTCAAGACAGAAAATTGTTTCAGCTACCATTTTGGTTTTTTAATTATTCTTAAATTTTTTTTTTATTATTTTTTTTTTTAATTTTTTATTTTTTTTTTAACCAAAGCTGAAAGGAAACCTCACTGTTGTTTGAGTACTCTGATGCATGCTTGCTTAAATATATAATTTGCTATTTAGGTAACATTACATGATTTTGAGTTGTGGGTGGAGACCATATATTTATATTTGGAAATTAAACCTATGTAGTTAACTACTTGGGTACCATTTGTATTTTTGTTTAGATTGTTATTATTCATTTCATTAAAGAATGAACTCGCCACTGAATTAATGCCAGTAAATATGTTGCAAAATTTATACAGTGTAATAATATACTAACTATTATTTTGTTTGGTATTTAAATTATTCAAAAAAATATTATCCATTCAAAATCTAAAAAATATAATTAGGAATTCAATAACTGATTCTGATACACTAAAATAAAATGAATAGTGTAATATAAATACTGACTAGAGCAGAGATTTTCTGTTTAATGTGTTGTTAATGTTATTTTTTCTAGCATCTGAATATTAACCAAATTAACTCTTTTAGGCAGCCTATTTTGTTTCAATATACAAAGTTGTTAAGTAAAACTCGGTCTCCAATTTCAAAAAGTGTTCCATGAATTTGTTTTCTTTTTTAAGCCAAAATGTGAGAACTCATTAGCAACTAAGCATTTGTCAAACACAGTTTTGTTTCTAAGTTTTCAATTGATCTACTTTTTAAGTATCAGACCATAAAGTCCTTAATTAGAAAATAAGGTTTCTCTTAACATTTAAGGACTGTTATTTTGAAGATGTTTAAAGTTTCTTCTTACATATGCATCACTACTGGTAACATTGAATTTCTTTGAGAGGCGCTGATTTTAATTTAATGTAAAGAGCATCATCAGTGCGCAGATATGTTGCATACAAATATTAACAAACGAAGAAAAGGGCAGGAGGAAGAGACACTTAAGGCAAAGAGGAAACAACATAATCCACATTTATAAAAATGCTGTGTGTGTGTGTGTGATATATATATTTGGGCACCTCAAGGTGGTGTAATGGTTACCAAACCTCTTTAGCTAGAACAATTATGACTGAGTAGTGAATTCAATCCTCACTGGGTGCCCCAATACTTTCAACCTTGTGCCACATCTAAGCTATGCTTGGAAAATCTCTCTCTTTTATATATATATATATTTCTAGTTACAATTATTGGGTACATGTGTTTGAGTAGAGATTTTTTTTTTACAGTGAAAATGACACCTGCCATTTTGGTCAATCTAAAGTTTTATTAAACAAAATGTGAGAGGCATATATTATATATCTATATATATATATATATTTGGGCAGCAACCTTCCTTTTAGACATGCTTTGCTGAATATGACAGACAAGGAAAATTAATTAATATTTACATTTTTTCCATTTGGTGGGAAGAGAGTGCAAAAATTGTCCATATTGTCTCAAGTGCTTTTGGCCACTTCTTTAGCCATTTTCAAGGGTGTTTGTTTCAGGTGTTGCTAATTTCTCTTCATGTTTTACATACACAAACGACACAACCCTTTCTAAACATATATGGAAACATAAAAACAAAAAATCCAAATACACCAAAACTCTCATGGAAAATAAGAAAAACAGCACCAGCCTACTATAGTAACTACCAAAACTCTAAACTTTGTCTGGAGAAGAAAATAGCTATAATCACTTTCCCAAACCAACACAAAGTACTAAATAAAAGATCACAACTTATGTGAAAATTGCAGACACAACAAATTTCTATTACATTACTTAAAATTGAAAACTAAAAACAAATATCATAACTACCCATGTCAATTTATAACTTTTATCTAGAATCTGTATGTAATACTGTCTAAAGAACCAGTTGACCATAGTTTTTTTTTATATATTTTATATACTAATTTTTTACATATACTTTTTGTGTGAGAAATTATATAACAGTATCATGTTTACTGATGTATAATGTGATCTTAAGTATGGTTTTTAGCTCTGTTTATTTGTATTTGTATGATCCAATTTCTGTTTGTCAATGTATTTGTTACCATAAACAACAAAAGTGGCACATCATAGTGAGATATCTGTTATGGCAATACTATAAAAAACAAATTTGGCGACTAAAGCATTTTCCACTAGAAATTTGCTACTTAATTATAATAGTGGGCCTGGTGGCTGTATTTGTACTTACCTCAATAGTAATGGTCTGATTTTTGTATGCCTGTTACAAAATCATATCCACAATAAAAGAGGAAAATAATGAAAAGATAAAATAGTGATATATTTATTTGTGTATGTGTGTGTAATATATATAAGTTTTTGCCACTAAAAAATACAAATCAGTTAGTTGTATGTTGTTCCAGCCAAGTAAAGGCATTTGTATCTCTAGGTTGGTTATTATGGTATGGACTTTTTAAGAGTGGAATCACTGTATGAAGTTAATTTGATATAAATAAACAAAATTGCCAAAATATTACATATAATGCAAATCCCTTTCCTCCTTTAGTTTTGATACAGAATTTCTCCTTTTTTGTGTTGTGTACTGATTGATTGATAAGCATAGTTTCCTCTTGGCTGACATCCCTTTAGTAATATATAAAATTTTGTTTAAATGTGCCAGTTCCCAATTGCAACATCCGAATTATATATAAAGCAGAGATCAGTGATAGAAATGTTGTCCCTGGAAAAGTGTGCACTATTCAAAATTGACACACACAAATGTTTGTGTGTGCTCAAACAGTACATCTGCAAAACAAAGAATTTTTTTGTTTCTATCATGACTGACTTGCTTTCAAGAAGCAGGGATAAAGTCTGAAATTCACTCTTGTGGTCCACACTTTGTACATCTGTGATTTCATGTCATCAGGTTGACCCTGAAATTGAAAAAATATTGAAAGGTTAACATTTTTCATCTGATGGTGAAGCTGCTGCACATAATTGAGTCAAAAGTAAACTGGAAACTTTCATGTATTGAATTAAAAAAAAAAGTATAATGTTTTGGCAAAAAATGTCAGCACTAAATGATGATTACATTGAAATATAGACTTGTAATTTTGAAGAGAAATTTACTTCATTTATTACTAATATCTGATTTAAAATTGTGCAAATATAGGGTGTGATGTGTAAATTGTTGCCATTTTATATTTTTAATTTCACACATGCGCATTGTTTGTTTTTTATTTTGTTGACTATACAGTATAATAGGGTCAGTTGGGAACCATCTGTGAGAAAAAAAAGCACCATGACACAATTCACTCTGCCAGAAATTTGAAAATGGCATGCTGTACTGCTTGACATTCATGCTAGAAGCTCCAAAACGAACATTTTAGTGTGTTTGGGTGTCAATCTGAAGAGAGTGCAGAGGATTCAGAAAGAGTTGGATAAGTCTAAAGGTAGATTATGAAGGTGCAGCAGCTTGGAAGAATCACTCTGATTGTTCTGATAAGAAAAAAACTCCTGAATTTGTAGATGAGACTCTACATGGAGGTAGTGCTGCCCGGGATC